AGCTTACATAATTAAAGAGAAATGGATAATTTAAGTTAGAAAAGTTTTTTAGAAACAAACTAAGCTAAGGCCGGGCATTCATAAGTAAGAATAAGTCTCCATGTATTTATTTGGGAACTGGGTGGTGGGCCCCCAAAGAATGAAAAAAAAATCAACAAAAAACAAAAACAAGTGCAACCTAATAATAAGTGTTAGTGGAAGACTTGCAACAACTGGAGACTTCTTGGCATGAGGGCCAGGACACTTTTGAAGTAATATAAATATACTCAAGATTGTCTAAATCATAAAGTACATGTACTGGCCTGTATAGCTGCAAGTTCTGAGAATGCATGGTGGTTGCTTTGCTAGTAGCCTAATAACATTACTGAAGACCTATTTTCTTCCTATTTCTGCTCAACATTCTGTGATGTCAGCTTCCTACTAGCCTCAAGATGGTTGTAAACTGGTACTACTTGCTTGTTTGTCTGTACTCAGAGATGGGGAGAAGATAGAGAGAAGGAAATGGAGGTTAAGAGGACTGTTTCAGAAGTTTCAAGGCCCTGCAAAAATATTTCCTCCTTGCCTATTGGCTTACCTTTTATCAGGTGTTGTGACAGGGCAAGAGGGTACAGAGTTTTCTCCATCTTGTATTCTTGCTATGGGTATTTTACATTTGAATAGAATTTGATCTTCTTGATTGGGAAGCTCTGTGGAAAATTATCTAAACTAAGGTCAAGACACTTTAGTAACTTATTTTAGCTTCTGTTAAACCACTTGTTTGTGCAAAAACCCTACCCTTTCAGCTAACTGCGTATCTTAATTTGTGTTAATCTGATTGCTTGCAAAAAAACTTCCCCTGCAACTGCCAAAGAAGATACTAGGATGTGGCTTTTACCTTTAGCAATCTTTTTCTCTAGCTGGGTGTGGTGACACATGCCTTTAGTCCTAGCATTTAGGAGGCAGAGGCAGGTAGATCTCTGAGTTCAAGGCCAGTCTGGTCTACACAGTGAGTTCCAGGACTGCCATGGTTACGAAGAAAAACCTCGTGTTGAACAATAAACAAAAAACAAAACAAAAACCCAATTAGCAAAAGATTGTATCTGTGTGTTGTTCTCTGGTGGGTACCCCATAACAGTGTCTTGTCTTGAACCAAGAACTATAACTAGGAATCAGAATTAAGCTCATTAATTTTCAAGTTGGCCTATATCTCCTATTATTGCAACTAGCATGGGCTATTTTTTTCTCCAAAGCATAAATACAATTAATGAAGAAGTGAATAAGAGCGTAGTTACCAACAAAAGAGGCAATGTATTTCTTAGAGAGATTATCAAAATGTGTGTGCAGGTACCCGCAGAGGCCACAAGAGGGCATCTGATCTTCTAGAGATAGAGTTATAGGTGGGCCATCTGATGTGGGTACTGGAAACAGAACTTGGATCCTTGGGAAGATTAGGAGGTGCTCTTAACCACTGAGCCATCTCCCTAGCTCCAGTTTTGTTCATTTTTATTTAATGAATATTTGTTGTGACTTTAAATAATGGCAAGTACTTGTGCAAAACACTGTCTAGTATGGAAGGTAGCACAATGTTTGGAAGGTTAGAATGGGAAGTATTGTTTATAAGGAAATCATTTTGAGGAGGAAAAGATGGACTTCTCAGACAGGGAAGGCCTCCCTTCAGGTTTAAGTAATTAACTGCAATCTGAGTCACTTGGTAGAGATGTAGAGTTAGGGTAGAGAGTGGCTCACATGTCAGAGTCCTGGGGGACTTGCATAAGAGTTAATGATTTTTGCATCACAAGTCATCACCAGCTTAGCAGATGGAAACAAACTCTGAGAATTTTCGTGTTAAGTGTCAAAGGATATCTCCCTCACCTAGGGGTTTTGAAACAGTCTTTGAGAGCTTGCAGTGGGGCATGAATCAAGGCCTCCAGCTAGAGCTATGCTATCTCCAGGTTTTACAGTAGGAGCATCTGATTCTAAACTGTGAGGGAGAGGAGAAGGTAGAGGAGTGGGAGGAGGAAAAATGAGAGAGGGAGAAAAGGAGGAGGGGAAGAGGAGAAAAAAAGATGGGAGGGAAAAAGATGCTAGGCATGTTGGTTACATGTATTACAACTCATGAACTAAAATGTATGATTATTAAATACATTTGGTCCAGAGTACAGGATACCTTAATTTTTAAACGTAATGTTACTTTTTTTTAACCCCAGAATTCCATCCATTATATTTATTATATATCCATTATAAATATTGTTATAATGTATTCCATACATTATATTTAGTTGTCATAATCTCCTTGAGTTTCTCTCTGCTGTGCCACCTTTTCCTTGCTTTTAATGACCTTGAAGTTTTGAGACATGCTGCTCAGTTATTTTGTGGGACCGAGTAGTTTTCTAACCAAACCACTGAGTATAATGTCATCACTTCTGACCATAATCTATCTATTTGTTAGAAGCTACTGCCTAACCTAGCCCACATTTAGGGGAGGAGGATTGAGTTGTATCTGTTGAAGACAGGAGTATCAAAGAATTTGTGGGCAAGTCCTTGAGCCTCACCTACAAGGTGTTGGATTCAATAGTACTGTGATAGAGTCCAAGAATTTGCATTTTTAACAAGCTTCCAGGTTCTGCTACTGTGAATGGGCTAGAGATTTCATTAAGGAGTATAGAGAGCCTGTGCAAGACCTTATTGTGCACAACAAGCTGGAAAAACTTTGAGATGATTCAAATTTAAGAGATCTAATGATAACCACCACTGAAATCATCTGGTTTAGTTTCTAGATTATCTGCTATCATGTACAAACAAGGACAAAAGTGCCTTATATTTGTATTAGATGGGATTTATTTTATTTAACGGTCACAAAAATAATGGTGAGAAGTCATACATGTCCACCTGACTTTGAAATAACTGAGACACAGAAAGGCTAGGAGACCAGTCAGGTCACACAGCATACTAATGATAAGATCAAGTTTAGGACTGAGTCATGTGAGCGATGGGTCAGCCCAAGTTTCCATTATACAGGTTTCTTTCACATTTTCCCAACATTTAGGACTGGGCTGCTTTTTAGAAAACTGTAAAATTAGGCACGATAATTTTTTACATAAAAATCATCAGAATAAATAGTTTTAAAGTATCAGTTTGTGCAGCACAAAAGGAAATTATGAAAAAGTTAATGGGTAAGTTCAGAAACATCAGTAGTGGTATGTCACATAGGTGAAAAACCTCTTTCCCTGCTAACACCCAGCTTTTACCTTCTTGGTGATCTTCATCCATAACCACTATCAGTAAAACTCCATCTGTAGGCAACACCCAAGACAGTTAGTGACAACCACAGGCTATGCCTTCTTTTTGTCTTCCCATGCATTCCAACTGCAGACTGTGCTCTGCTCTGTTGGTAAAACTGTCCTTTACGGTTTTTTTGAGAATGGAAAAGACAGAATAGTCCAGTTATCAGACGTAGTTTACTGGAAATCTGGAAATATGGGAAGATCACAGGATGTCTATGAATGAACATGCTATTTTTCTTTAGATACAGAGAAAGTCGCAACAATTTTATAAAGCAAAGAAGCGGGTACACGAAGGCATATGAAGACATAAAAGCTTTACACTAATTGAAGAGTTTCTGCACCCTGATAAGCTTCTCCACTGAGGCAGCAATCCAAACCAGACCAAATCAAAACGAATTAGAAAAAAAACCCACATTCAATGGACACAACGCTCACAGATAGCCTTGCAGCCCCAGAGAGGAGATGAGAAAGAAACTGGAAAATCTCACGTCTATTTTCTGGGGGGGGGGGCAGTTTGAATACCCTGTGGGAGGGGTCTTGAGTGTCTCTGGGGAGGGGTCATCATTGTCGGGCTTTCTGAGATGCAGCAGGGTTTGGAGGGAGATAGGGGAGGGATCCTTGGGTGGAACTTCCACCATAACACTAATCAGAAGAAAGTTTTAAACTTTTTTTGTAGTTGATGTTTACACGTTATCAAAAGTTAAGTCAATGTTTGGGGTAATGATTAAAGCAAGCAGTATTTCATATTAGGAAATACAGATTTCATATATTGAGCCATGAATTCAAGTTCACTATCATGCAAAGAAAACCCAGCACAGTGTAAACATACAGATACCTGCCCTCAAATAGTGGTGAAACTGTGTCAGCGTTCTATGGTGGTGAGGGATTGCAAAAGACTCGTGAGTGGCTCTAATTTGAGCCTTTCTCCAATGGATGTGTATGTTGGGGTGGGAGGGGGCCAATGAAATATGATTAATTCCATCAATCCATTTTTTGGGATGAGAGGATCTAGGAACCATGAATATCAAGTGTTAATGACCTTTATTTGTAATGGATTCCTCCAATGGTGGTAGTAGGGAGAGGGCTATGAATAGTTAGTGACCTAAGAATCTTGTACATTCATAGGCCTAAGTGGTAACTAGAGGTATAGGCCCGGGAACTGCAGCCAGTGAGGTAACAATCCTTTTTCGTAACAATGGGTCCAAAGGTATTCAACAGAGCAAAGGAGGGCAGACAGGGAGCAGAGCTCCTGGGGGTGGGGGGAGTGGGGAGCGGGGAGCAAACCAGTTGCTTACTCTGTGCCAAGGTACCAGTATTATTGGAGGGGATGAAAAAAACCCTGTAGTTAAGGGGCAAAGAATCTGAAAAAGCATAGGACTGGAAGGAACTTAAAGCGGGGCAGTCAGCTGATCCGAGGAGGGCCTTCCGGGAGAGGGGCCTGAGATAGGAGAGGTCTAGAGAGCAGCGCTAAATATCGTGTTTCAGGGCGTGGGTTCCCGGCGTCCTCCAGGTCTCCAACTGCCTTTTGGTCTTGGAAGACTTGATCCAGGGAGGGACAGGCAGCGGCCAGGCTCGTGGGGAACAGGTTAAGACCCACAAGCGAGGGCGGGAGGTTAAGGCATGTTACCGGGGCTTTAAGAAAGCTTTGGCGGCGGCGGCAGCCAATCAACAGCGCGCGCGTGCAGCCGCGTGCCCCTCGCGCCCCTCACATCCCACGCGCGCCGCGTACGTGCGGCGGCAGATCCCTCCCCTTTTAGGCGGGGCTTAAGAACCCGCGGGCAGCGGGCCACGGCCGCCTATCTGCTGTTGGTGCTTGTTTAGGTGCTGAGGCGGCGACTACTCTGGCGGCGCCAAGGCCAAGCCCCAGGTGGAGGTAAAACTCCGCCGGCGCCCTCTCCGTGTTGCGGCCCGGCGTGGCGGCCCCTTGCAGTGGTCTGGAAGGTCGCGGCGGATCTGCGCAGTGCCAGGGTGAGGATGCGGCTCTTCTTTAGGCTGCTCAAGCAGCCGGTGCCCAAACAGATCGAGCGCTACTCCCGCTTCTCTCCGTCGCCGCTCTCAATCAAACAGTTCCTGGACTTCGGTGAGTGTGACGCCTTGGGGCCGGCCACCCCCAAGGTCCCGAGGGAGTGAGGGAGCCTCCATCCCCCCCCGCCCACCTGCTGGGCTCTTCAGTCTCAAGGCAAAGTCCGTGGGAACCGCCTGCCTGGGTGATGGGGGATAGGAGCTTGGGACTCTTGGGGTTGAGGTTTCGGGTTTCAGGAGGTGGAGGGGCAGGGCCTGACACCCACACGCCCAGCTTCCTCCAAGGACTCTCATCCCAGTTGGAACTCCTCAACCGTCCAACCCTTCCTTAGCTCTAACTTGACTCAAACCGCACTGCCCTGAAAACTTCAGAAAGATCTCTTAAACATTTTTATTTTTAGAGATTTTAATGGTTGGGTAAGATGTGTTTACAAACACCTTGAGATTGAGTAAATCCTGCAGTGGTGTTGGGCGTGGGGCAAGACCAGAAAGGCTTCATTATGATACCTTAGATCAGTCACAGTGGTGGGCTGCAAAAGCCTTAGATGTTGGGCAAGCTGTGGGCTCCTGTCCACACAGCAGGGGTTTTAGGGTAGCTCCAGCATAAGTGTAAGCACCTTTACTTGGTGTCCCTTGCACCCTGTTGGCAGCTGAGTACTTCATTTACATGGATTGGGGTGGGGAGGGAGAGGACCCCAATAAAGCCTGAGGCCTAACTTAGATGGGAATAGATTCTACCACCTTCCATTAACTGATCAATCATGTTTCCTCAGAGGATGTCATTCCAACTCCAGCAGGTCAAATTCGGTTGTGAAACACCTGAAAATAAAACAAAAATGGAAGTCAGCATGGCTGAAGGAAAATCAAGATGACTTAGGCTCTCAAAGCCAAGATCTGTTTAATTCATTTGATTTTAAAATGTCGTGGGATGGTGTCAGTTGTGTATAAAAAGTGAAAAATTGGTAGAACCTTCTGGGAAGACCAGATATTCAGAATGTGATGTTGTCTATACTTTTGGGAGAAATAATACAGGATAGAAAGAGAGGTATAGGTTAAATATTTAAGCTGATGCCAAATTAAGTTTTAGAAATCAAGCTGCCAATGATAGATGATGAAGAGCTAAGATGAAGAAGTTGGCCTTTTCATCTTAAGTTTCATTTTCAAAAGCTTTTCAGTAGTTGGAACCCTCCCCCTCTAGCTACTTGTAAAATTTATCCTTAAACATTTTATTCATGTATATATTTGGGTTTGTGTAGCTACATGTGTCGTGTGTCTGTAGAGGTCAGAGGACAACTTGGAGTTAGTTCTGCCCTTTTACCATGTGGGTCCCTGAGAGCAAACTCTGGTGTTCAGGCATGGCAGAAAATGCCTTTACTCACTTCACTTTCTTGCCACACCCTGCTTGTAGAGTTTTAGAGGTTTGAGGCGGGTCCTGACTTCACAGCTTAGAATGAAAATGTTGCTATTGCTATAAGAGGGCATGTTTTACTCACTTAGAGTATAGAGATTATTATTATTGTTATTATTATTATTATTATTATTACTACCCTTTTGTTAGGGTAAACTGAGACAAATTCTCAGTAAAAAGAACAAAAGGAATCTTGGTCACTCCCACATTCAAAGTTTGTTGGAATATTGTACCAGAAATTTCAGTTAATTTATTTCTGTGGCAGCTAGTATCTCCCATGTTGATAGGCATCTTGGCAAGGATGTTATTTGAGTAGGAAAGTTATAGCAAGGAATAGTGTTGTGGTGGATAATCTGTGGGGGTGGGGTATCTAGAAATAAATGTTCACCATTTTAGAAGCATTGAAATTGGTGGTTTGGGGTCAGGGCCTCATGTTCTGAATTTCTGGTGTTAGTTGTGTAGAGGTGGGATGTAGGGCACTGGTATTTTTAGAAGATCACAGGTCATTCTAAAGTATTATGAGGGTTAAAAACCATGAACTAGGTGCACTTCTGGCTGATCTGCTGTCCTTTCATCTGTGTGGAGTATTTGTTTAAGCTCTTTAAAATAAGAATTCTTGAATTATATCTTTAGTGGAAATTCAGTCTGTAAGAAGAACAAGTATTTTAAGTGGAGTATCATTTCCAAGTGTAAGATTTTAAAAAAGACAAACAACAAATACCATTATATGTTCTTTATCAACTCATGGTAGCAGTTATATGGTTCCAAATTAAAAAGATGCAAAAGGACCTAGGCAGAAAAGCCTTTTTAAAAATTGTACTTCTGTTGACTAGTCTTGCATTCTTTGTATAAGTTGCTCCTTATACTTTTATTTGTACCTTGCTTTTTAAACTTAATACAAAAGCACTTACCTTGTATGTACATGTAGACTTCCTTTCTGTGACTTTTGAGAATTCATACGGGCGTAATATAATTAGACAGCTCACTATTGACGGCTTGTGGAATGTTTCTAGTCTTTGCTATGACAAGTACTTCAGTGAATTATTGTGTACATTGTAATTTCACGCATGTCTGGGTGTAGATAGAAGACAAATTCCTAAAGGTTACCTTGCTACATCAGGAAGGATGCACATTTGTAGTTCTGATAATTGTGAGCAATATTTTTCCATAGGAGTTGTCTGTTTGTCTACCTGTTGGAAGTTTCTGAGACAGAGTGCCTATTTTCCTGTACTTTTCTTACATGGTTGTCATGCTTTTAATAGGTGAAAAGTCATGTTTACATAGAAATTTTATCTTGGCTTTTCATTATGGAAAATTATAAACATAAAAAGTAGAAGGGATAATTTGATGAACTGTTGAGTCATTATAATGAAAGCCATGTGCTATTTGTATATGTTTGCATATGCAGGCTGTTAGGTTTTTCTTATCAAAGTTAGGTTTGTTTCAGAAAGACAATTTTTACTTTTTATCCAGTAACACTATTGTTTTGAGTTAACTGTTCTTTAATGATTTGGTACATTCCTATTAAACCTGCCACAGGAATCTATGGTATTGGTCTCTGTAGGTTTTTCATATCATCTGGAATCTGTTTGGATAGATTTCTCTAGAAAACCGTTTTCATCAGTAATTTTTGGCTAGTTTATATAGATGACATAAACACACAACACACAACTCTTTCTCTTTCACTTTTTATTTTGTACTTTAAAAAAATTAAGTTTCTCTTTTGACAAATTTATAAATGTATATAATACATTCTTATTACCTTCTCCCATCCCTATCAACCCGCACACCACAGTCCTTTTACTAGATTCATGAATTTTGGTTTGGTTTTATGATTCATTTAATCAGAACCAGAGTCGTCTATGTGATCATTGGATTGGATCTTGGTGGTGCATTATTTATTTATTTATTGAGACAGGATCTGTTGCTGCCTTTGCCTTCTGAGTGCTAGGATTAAAGATATGTACCACTGTGCCCAGCTAACTTTATTTATTTTTGAAACAGTCTTACTCTGTAGTTCAGGCTAATCTTGAACTCACAACCCTCCTCCATGGTCTTCCAAGCGCTGGGATTATAGGTGTGTACCACTACATGCAGCTTTGATAGTAGTGCTTAACGGTTTTCCTTTATTTCTTGATTTTCATCTTTATTTTAGGTAGGGTTTTATTTTGCTAGAACTCACCATGTAGGTCAAACTGACATTGAACTCTAGTGATCCCTATGTTTCAACTTTTTGAGTACTGGAATTACTGGCATGAGGCACCAGATCTGACTTCTACCCTCTTCTTGATTTGGTTAGCAGATGGTTTATTTGGTTAAATTTATTTCTTAGTTTCATGGCTTTGATCTTTCAGGCCATGCTTACCTTGCCCTTAATAAGTCTCTCTGACATCCTTAGATCAATTTTGTTCTTTTTTATTTTCTTTATTTTAAAACAAGTTGAATACTAGTTTCTATTTTGTCATTGCCTTTTGTTTCAGGTCTTTTCTAGTTTTTAAATTTTATTTTAGTTTTATGTATATAGTTGTTTTGCCTGCATGTATGCTTGTTTACCCCTTTCTTGCCGGATACACACAGAGGCCAGAAGAGAAGTCATATCACCTGGAGCAGCAGTTATGGACTCTGGTGAACTACCACGTAGGTGCTGGGAATTGATCCCAGGTGCTCTTAACTGCTGAGCTAGTTCTCCAGCCACTTTATTTCAGTTCTTAAGGCTGGCTAATCAGTGCTTTAGCATGCTTTAGCTGCTGATATGTGTATTTGATTTTGCCCCCATGTTACCTGTATCCTGGAAGATGTTTATTCTTCTATGAAATAAGGTTAGCTTGAGAGTGTTGAAACTTTCATTGTAGGTTTATTATGTATATTAATTCTTTTCAGTTTGTTGAATGATTGCAGAATTTTCCCTAGGTTCTCTGACTGTTTGATGTTTCTCCCTGTGTGTGGTCATTTCTTGTGAGTGTTCCTTGAGCAGCAGAAAGAAGGCTATTTTCTCTTTCCAGGTTACTGAATTATGTATACCATATTGTTATTTAGGTTTTTTTGTTGTTGGTGGTTTTTTTTTTTTTTTTTTTTTTTTTTTTTTTTTTTGAGACAGGGTTTCTCTGTATTGCTTTGGAGGCTGTCCTTGAAATAGCTTTGTAGACCAGGCTGGCCTCGAACTCACAGAGATATACCTGCCTCTGCCTCCGGAGTGCTGGGATTAAAGGTGTGTACCACCATTGCCTGCCTCGGCTTTTTATATACCTTGTTAAAAATTCACTTGATTTGTTGTTGCTCACACAGGAAAAGTCTTCAAATATGAGTTTAAGAGTTTGAGGCCAACCTGATCTACAAAACTACACAAACAAACCCTGTCTTGAAAAACAAAAACAAAAAAAAAAAAAAAAGAAAGAAAGAAAGAAAGAAAGACAAAGACAAAAAAACAAATATGATTCTATTTTTTCATATAGGTCTTAGTTTTTGTCATATGTTGTTAATGTGATCCTTGGTTCTTATTAACTGTAATGGCCTCATGGTGAATTGTTGCTTTTAGCTTTAATAGTTTAATGCTATTTGGGCTGTATTCAACCTGTTCAGCCTTATTTCATATTGAGATCTAGTTTCCTATCTTCTTGTTTGCATTCTTACTTTGTTTTTCTGAATTACTT